GAGATGAACTCTCACTGCCTAAAAGTGCACATAAATGCAAGATCTTGTCACCGGATGGGAACTCAGTGGTGCTTCATCTTTCAAAAACACCTGTATTACAGTGGATCTCTTGAAAAATTCCATGAAGAAGGTTTTCTAAGACTCATCTCCCTTGATAATGGCATAAAAAGAAAAAAATTGCTTTCCATACTATGTAGACCACCTAAGATATTAATCTGAGGAACTTACTTGTACTGATATGATCAGACTTGCTGCTCTTCGGGGCTGGCCTCTCACACTGTGTGCCTGACCAGTTGGTGGAGCATCTAGAAAGATCCAAACAACAGCAAAGATCAGTGAGTCTGCTAATGTAGTAATGAGTCTGCTAATGAAGTAACTTCAACCAAATAAAATGACATAGGAGCCAGTCTCATAAATATTAAATAGAGATTTCTGCTAATTTCTTGTATATTGTCAGTACACTAACAGAAACCTCCAACTGGACTTCACTTGTTGAAACAGTTTTTAAAACTTAGGTTTACATTTTCTTTATTCTGTGTTAAATTTAAAATTGGCACATTTTACTGCTATATCGAAATCTTGGCTAAGAATTGGAGAGCAATTTAAAATTATTGAAAATTACAAGTATCCACTTACAAAAATTGAGTTTGCATATTAAGTAAATCCTCCTTTATTAAATTTCTGTGATTTGTTTTTCTCATTGTTCTAAATCCAAAGTGGAACTAACTACCAAACNTAAATTTCTGTGATTTGTTTTTCTCATTGTTCTAAATCCAAAGTGGAACTAACTACCAAACAGCAAAAGGTCATCTGTCTCATGGTTTAAACTTCAGAATTTTTACTCTCCTAATCAGAGAAAGGGAAAAACAGTGCGTTTCTATTTTAAATCATACTTCTATTACCATAAAGCCACGAGAATATGCCCAAGTTTTCATTGAAAGAAGTTGTTTTCCCCATATAGGTACCACGAAAATATTATGAGATGTCTAGTACGGGATAAGAATAATAGATCTGATTAAAATCTATTCTTTAAACATGAATCACAACCATATTATTAGCTGGTTGCATCAAAATAAATGCTGGAACAGTTTTAGCTGTGTTTGAACAATGTCTATTGGCTAACACAAGATGCCTCTGTGCATCTGTCAGAGAAAATCTGCAGAGAAACAATATAATTGGCTTCAGTTCTTATTTAAAATGACTGTCAAATACCACCATATCAAGTATAGTTGTACATAATAAAAGAACAGCTTCCAGAACTATTCCAGGTGGATCTCTGTGGACATGGTAGGCCAAACTAAATAAATGCAATTTCAAGGTCTCTGCCAATTCTGTCATAGCCAATTCAAATAGCTGAAGCTGTTTTCTGAACTATGCTTCTATGATGCCATATGAATTATTTGTGATATTCATAAGGACAGTATTGCTTGTCTGAAAACATGGGCAAATTCTCATAAAATCATCATTCCTGAC